CACACGGAGCCGCAACAGTTCCCTTTTCCCTCCCCCACCACAAACCCTAGCCTAATTATATCTCCATCCACGCTTTTCATGCTTTAGTTGCTCGCCTATTAGTGGCTGCTCTGTCACGCCAACCAACTTGGTCTGACTATTTCACTTTCTCCTCTGTTTATTTCGTCTGACGACGGGTTGGTGTCACCAGCTCGAAAATTCACGAGTACAACTCGATGTTTTCCGACGAGACTTCTGTCTTCATCATATTATCTCGGAATGCACACTACCTCAGCTATTCAAAATTATTACTATATGTCGCCCTCACTCTGACGTTTTTTCACTTATATAACCAATGACCTTAATATCACCAAATCGATTAGTGCGTCACTTGGCTAAAAAATCCACGTAATGGTGATTGTTTCGCAGTCTAGACCTACGAGGCAATGGGAGATCTGCTTTATCTTAGTTCCCTAATACGACTTTTAGTGGTCTATGTCATACATCCGTTGCGTCGTATCTAATTTTTAGGCCCTAAAAGAAAATGATTTTGGATTTCGACCACCACTATGTGTTAGCTGCAGTTCAATAGCGCTCCCTGAACAACATCCCACAACTACAGTGGAAGTGGAATTTTTCTTTAACAATCGCCACAAAATACGCCCGTGCATTGGCGCTTGCAGTTCCGTAGTCTTCCAAACCAAATTGTCGACCACAATAGTTTTCTCTGAGAAGAATTGAACAAGACCTGCTCGAACAGGGATGTCCTTATTGCTGAGGAATTGAAAGCACCCAATATCCGCTTGGAAGCTTGGATGGTTTTGTGTCTGCTGCATATATTCGGACATCGTTGCACAAAATGGCCCTGAATAAACAACTTTTTCAGAATGTAACTCTGGGAAAACGTGTTGGAGAAGGTCAGCATTCAAAATGTTTTGGGCATGAATTTAAGGGTAACGAGTCGAGCACCAGATGGTCCTATCCATGTACAGTAGAGATTGCAAGTGATATCATATACGTTCGGCGTAGAATATAGTCATTTGTAAAGTTTGGCAAAACAATTTGCACTAAACGTGCGGTGGTCCGTTACGTATGAAATGAATTCAAGAGGTAAAGTTCATGGTTGACCGTATATAGTCCTACAGTGGGAGTTCTTGTTTATCAAAAATCGGGCAATCCAACTGCCTTTGAATACAACCAGTGTATCAGAAGTCTTTGTCTCTCTTGAGAGTGAGCGGTCGAATTGCCCGTTGACCGAAAGAAAACCTCCGTTGGTCTAGGCGCATACGGTCGCGTTTGACCTCGTACGGGTGACCGCAGAGGTGGTTCGTGTTTTCAAATTTGAAATCCTCGGGTTTGAAGAAACAGTCATGTCCTCAGATAATGCGTGTTGCCCACGGCAGGATACAGCTATACGATAGGGGAAACAGACTGAGTTGGATCAGTAGTTCAGGATATGACGAAGCCCAAAAACCGCCCACTAGTTTTGTCTTCCATCGTTGCATCTCCTTTATGCGGTCGCTGTCTTTCTCCTTCCAGGGCATCCATTCTGGCATTCCGTATTACATATGTAGTCTCACGAAAGTACCAAATACCTGTGCAAAGTGTTAGAGAGGATAAGTTGCAAAAGCGCGTCTAATCCAGAGCTTAATGCCGGTTGCCTTTTGGACGACTCTTTAGCAGCGCTCGAAGGGTAGTAAGATCGAACTTGTCCTGATATCTAGGTCCTTACCCGTATCTACGTCTTTTAGTGGAACTACGTTTATGGAGTATTGGTGTTTTGGGAAATGTCTCCGACCAGAGTCCAAGCGCAAGACCACACACTTGGACACATTAAACGCTAGTATTCACTTGTTAGACCATGTGGCCAAATTGTCAACGTCTTCTTGCAGTTTCTGTGCGCCGTCGGCAAAGCTGGTTTTTCCCAGATTTTTATATCGTCTGTAAACATGATGGTATCATAGTTAAGATTTTCCATAAAGTCGTTTATGCAGATGAGGAAGAGGAGATAATCCAAGATCGAACCCTGTGGAACGCCGCTTTTTCCGACACTCATTCGTATACAGTTGTACCAACAACTGCTTCTTGCAGCTTACTCGACAGGAAACTTTTAATCCACTTAAAATGCTGCCTTGGATCCCATACTACCAAAGCTTCTGTGAGATGCGTGGATAAGACGCACTCTCCAATGCATTTTTGAGGTCGACGAAGAGGACACCAATTGGACGACTGTGGTCCGTGGCTTTTGTCCACTTTTTTTCCGAGTAATGACTACTTGCAAGACGTGAGAGACCACGACGAAATCCCTTAAATGCCTCTTCCCAAGTCGTTCCATGATCTTGTGCAAAATGCAGTTGAAATAAGTGGTAGGGCGCTATACGGACCCCACGTTGAACCGCCTTTTGATGATCGGAGAAAAAAGACAGTTTCCCTTTCCTACGGAAGTTAACCTCCTTCCATGGACTTTTAAAATATCACCGACGCCGGCACTTTCAGTACGTAAACCAATTCTCCAAGAGCAAGTGGATGTATTCTATTTGAAGCATCTGATTTGGAAGGCTTCAATCGGTATAATTCAGCATATATAAGGGAGATAGCAGTCTTTGAAAACCCTACTTACAAACCTAGCCCGGAAAAACGTGCAAATGTGTACGCAAATATACGGCGCCTTTTATCTGTTCTTATCGAATAAATATATGCGAAGACATGAACTCGTTAGTAGGGGACGAGAGTGAAACTCCATGACAGGAGTCTGAAGTCACAACCAGCCCTGATTGGTTGCTCGGGTCAGTCGGTCGACAACAAAAGTGTGCGTCCAAGAGACGACTCCGTAAATTGTCCTCACCCACATGCAGCGAATTCACCAGGAAGACAAATTAAGTAGGAACGTGGCCGCCAACAGTGTCTGATTATTCAGAGCTTGTCTGAATCGAATGAAGTCAGATCTGAAGAAAGTGTCTCGGATGATATTGCTTGTTTTCGTGGTCTACTAAACCAATTGCTCCAGGCCGACATGAAAACAGAGGTTCTGAAGGCATTCCGGATAGGAAAAACGAATGTGTCAAATGAAATTGTGTGCTGTCAACGAGAAATTTCCGATGGTGCGCCCCGAAATTTTGAAATAATTTCATGCAAGATATGTATCAAACAATTACCGACACTGAACCTGTGTGTTGTCTATCGGCCTCCCAGTTCGAATTAATTCGCAGATATGGAATTACTTAGTGCACTGGAGTTGTTATGTAAGCAAGAGAACTTACTACTTCTGGGTGACTTCAACGCTCCAGGAATAGACTGGAACATTCCCCTAAAAAACGCCCCGTCCACGTCATTTGACCACAAGCTACTACAACTCTCCCTGAATGAATACCTCATTCAACACATAAAATTCGGAACAAGAATGAGAGAAGGACAACGATCTAATTGTTTAGATCTCGTTTTCAGTAAAGAAGAAGGACTCATAAAGGAAGTGAATCCACAACCTCCACTTGGTTTAAGCGACCATATTGCTTTTACCTGCGTGTGCGCTCTCCTATCCAACCAACAACCAAAAATCAAGACGCGCAGAAATATTTGGAAGAGCGACTTTAACGCAATGAGACGCACTCTTTTGGAGGAAACCTGGTTGGTCAACACAGAAGATTCAGACGAATTTTTGCAGTACTTTCGCGGGATAATAGAGCGTCTGATTGATTCCCATTGTCCAAGAAAAATGACAAGACCATGTATGCGACCGCCGTGGGTCAATCCGACGACAAAAAAGACCATGAAGAAGAAACAGAGACTCTGGAAAAAGTATTTGCAACTTCGAGATCCAAGGTCACTCGCCGAATATAAGGATCAGCGCAATAAATGCCGTAAAGAAATACGGGTTGCTAGAACTTCTTTCGAGCGTCGACTGATAGCAGAATCCATTACATGTCTCAAGAAGTGTTACGGGTACATCCGCAGTAGGAGGAAACATAGGGGCGAAATTGCGTGTCTAAAGGATAGCCTCGGAAACTTAGTAGTTGAAGGGCCACAGAAAGTGCGATAACTGTCTCAGTTTATTCAATCGGTTTTTACGGAGGAGTCCCTAGAAGACAATCAGCAGTTTGAAATGGACCGAGACAGCCGGGAGCTTCAAATGCGCCAAGATATTGGCGTCATTGAAACCGTCGCCTTTTCCGTCGAAGAAGTCAGACGCGTCCTCAGTCAAATAAAACCTGATAAGTCTCCTGGACCCGACGGAATTCCCGGGCTGATACGTAAGGAGCTATCAACGGAGCTATCAAAGCCTCTTTCGACTCTCTTTGAGCTGTCAATGAGAACAGGAAGGCTGCCCTCACAGTGGAAGACAGCTAACCTCGTTCCATTGCATAAGGGAGGTAGAAGGATAACAGCAAGAAGCTTTAGGCCTATTAGCTTAACTTGCCTCCCTTGCAAAACGATGGAAGCTATAGTAAAGAGCGCTATACAGCAATTTTGTGAAGAAAATAACATCTTGCAGGATTTTCAACATGGCTTCCGGAGAGGACGTTCCTGCCTCTCTAATCTGCTAGCTTGTCTGGAGATCTGGACCAGGGCTCTAGAAGAGGGTTTTGAGGTCGATGTCGTATACATAGATTTCCGCAAAGCTTCTGACACTGTCCCGCACCAACGTCTTCTTCACAAATTGAGCGCCATCGGTATCCGGGGAGATCTTATGGACTGGATTAGGGCGTTTCTGGTTGGTCGGAAACAACGTGTCTGTGTCGGGGATGATATGTCAGAATGGGTGAATGTGACCAGTGGTGTGCCGCAAGGCTCAGTTCTGGGACCATTGCTCTTCATCCTTTACATTAACGACAGCCTTCAGGAACTCGACTGCGGCAAAATAATGTTTGCAGACGACGTTAAGCTCTGGCAAGTCATTAAGGGTCTGAATGATCAGAGATTCCTTCAAGATAATCTGCACCGACTGCAAGCTTGGTCGAAGAAATGGCTTCTAGATTTCAATGTGGAGAAGTGTGCCATCCTTCATCTGCGTCCAACCAACTCTCATTCAAATGAGAGCCTGAGGGCATATCACCTGAAAGATATAAGGTTCCCCGCAGAATCTTCACAGAAGGATCTCGGGGTTTGGATACAGAACAACCTGAAACCAACACTGCAGTGCCACAAGGCTGCAAAAAACGCCATGGGAGTGCTGCATGCAATAAAAAGAGCTTTCGTTAACTTTGACCAAGACCATTTTGGGAGAGTTTACGGCACATTTGTCCGACTCCACTTAGAATATGGCATACAAGCATGGCGGCCGTGGCTAGTAAAGGACCAAGCATGCCTCGAACGAGTACAACGGCGTGCAACAAAGCTGGTAAACGGTCTAAAAAGCCAATCCTACACAGAAAGACTGAATTGCCTTAATTTATTCCCTCTGTGTTACAGGCACCAAAGAGGTGATCTTATCCTCGTCTACAAGATAATACATGGCCTTGAGTATGGACTTAAATTTGAGGACATGTTTCAGTGGCACCTTTCACCCAATCTTCGTGGTCACTCGATGAAGTTACGGGCAACAATGTCCAGGCTGAATCTTCGTTCTGAATTTTTCACGCAGAGGGTAGTGGAGAAATTGAACGATCTCCCTCAGTCAGTCGTGGAGGCTACGTCCTTGCAACTCTTCAAGAAACGCTTGGATGATTATTTGTGTCCCCTGTTTTCCCTCGACAGTCTGAATCTGAATTAATACCCCTGGTCCAGACAAATATTTTCTCTGAGACAATGCTACTCAAATGAACCACGTACTGTTTTAATAGTGAACATTTTTTGTTCGTATACAGTTATTTCTAACAAGCTGACATGTAATCAATAGGGTTTTCAAAGGCTTTGCCTGTTATCCTTACCAAATAAACTGAATAAACTGAAGACAGAACAGCAGCACTACCTCCACGTCCTCTCAAAATTATGCTTGGGAACAAAGAGCAAATCATGTTGATCCTCCCCGAAAACCGACATCAGAATCACGCACAAACATATATTTTCAATCGGACTACTCACCAGCAGAATGACTGAAACGCCAGGAACTCGTATTGGAGTTAAAATCGAGACTGAAGGTGGGCGAAAACAATCTGGCTATTTTCAAGGGAAAAGTAGTTCGGAAAGATATGCCGTTTCAGTGGAATCAGCCACTAATACTGAGAACGAGGGCAACTACTCAGTTAACACGGACACTTTCATGGAACCAGTCGCTGGAGGTGAAAACATAAGCAAGCCATTAACATCCAGTGTCCTGAGTGTAGCAATGGACATTAATGGATCCATCAGGCAACTGAAGAGCCCAGACAAAATGACGTCCGAGATGACGCAGTTATGTCCAAAACAATGACAAATGCAATCGGAAATTTGGCTGATACAAGATTGAGGTGCTTGTACACTGGTGTCCGAAGCCTCATATCGAAAATTGACGAGTTAAAACTTTGCCTTGCCAAACTGTCTCCAGATGTTTTAGCAGCAACCGAAACCTAGTTGTCCGAGAATATTAGCAATAACGAAATAACCCTGACTGAATACCAAATTTAATGGAAGAATGGGAACATCGTCAGAGTGGTGGCATAGTTGTGTATGTGAAGGAAGAACCGTCAGTGTCGGAAAATACCACTAAGTTTGCGTTGAAAACGGAAGTTATTTGGTTGACCATCAAGGCCACTGGTTCCCCTAGTCTTGATGTCCGCACTGTCTACCGACTACCTAGGACAGACCAAATTGCTGACACTCGACTACTGGAACAGTTGGGGAAATTTTTCAGTCGAACCAACATCATGATCATGGGCGACTTCAACGCACCAGGAACAAACTGGAACACCATTCAAGCGTCAGGTCCAAAATCGGCATTCGATTACTGTCTGCTGAACAAACCATCAAAGGCTTCCCTCACACAGCGTGTAATGTTTCCAAGCAGGACACGTGAAGGGCTAAGAGCGAAATGACTGGATCTGGTTTTTACGAAATCATCAGACAGCATAGACGAGATCACCTTCATTCCCCTCTTTGGAGGAAGTGACCATGTAATGCTAATGTGGGATTTTTCATTATTCTACAGGGTTACAGGCAGAGCCCTTGATGACCCTATTTATGTACAGTGCTTTCGCAGCCTCATACTCAAAAATAAAATAAAATTGCAGGCATTTGAAATGTGATTGGGTCACAGTTCAATCGTAATCATAAGGTAGTGCATAGGGTCACTGTTAATTAGTGCGGAAGATTGCATATGACAGATTTTACAAAACTGGCTGTGCATAGTCATGCTGTACAAGCCGACTTCTGTCGAAAACTAGACGAGCAAGTTTTCTTTTAAACATACAAACTCTGTCAGCCGTCACCATCTCGCTTGGAAGCTAGTTCCACGGCCTGACAACCCGCTGGCTGAATAAAAATTTTCGTCGGTCTAAACGCGTGCGCTCATTCCCGACTTTGTATGCATGGCCGCGTAGTTGGTTTGTTCGGGCGAACTCAAAGAAGTCCTCTGCTCTTAATGAGCAACCCTGGCCGCGAACAATCCGGAACGTCCAGAGTAGACTGCAGTTTATTTGTCTATAAGAGAGAGTGAATAGGCCAAGCAAATTCAGCCTTATCAGGAGAGGCTGGGGTCTGGAGTCGTTCAACAGTCCATCCAGTGTAGCTCATTTCGCAGGAGCTGCATTCGATCCCATAAATCACGGTTGTGATTTCGCCGGGTGGGAGGGGTTTTAGGTCTCATGACCAGATGCCGAATCGTGTACTCTGGCCGATGGGCAATGCCAATCCCCAGTGACCTTAGTAAATGGGAGACCGTCTCAGAGACGCCGTCAATGCAAGGAGGTACTCGCTGGACCTACATAAGTGAAGAAGAAGAGGGGTCGAGCACCGGAATATTTAATTTATTGTCCTGAGCTTTCGAACTCGTGCAGAAATATATCGTCAGAGATAGTGGCAGCAACAGAAAAAATGGCAGTTATGGGCATGTAAAGTATTCATCGACCGACGGCGAAATACTGGAGGTGACTGCGCATGGCTCCGTACGCCGACGCCAAATCGATAAATCGATGGAATGAGTTCTCTTCCGAGGCGCAGGCTCCAATTCATGCTCGGTATGTTTTAGTTCCGACACGGGCGACCATTTTGGTGGCCACGAAGTTAAACTCATGACCCATTTCGTAGGTGTGAGCGGCCACTTGTGATAATGAGTCGCCTCGTTGCCCAGTAAACTTGTGTTTGTGTATGCGCGATCAGAGCATGTGCTGAGTCTGGCCTGTGTAGTTACAAGGACAGTTTTGACTCGGGATGCGATATACTATTCCAGATCGCTCTTCAGGCTTTAACCGGTCTTTACTTTTCATGGCCTTGTTGCTCATGGTGGCTTTGGGGCGGTGTGCAATGCGTTCAGCTGTTTCAGAAATGTCCTTGGCGTATGACAGCAAATGTCATATCGCTGGCGTTGTTGACGTTTTAATCCTCTGAGGACGACCGCGTAGGCAGCGACTTATAAATGCCCTCCGATCGCGATTTTGCACAGACTGGTTGTGGAGATCAAGAACCTCACGTGTTTTTCCCTCCTGCTTGCAGCAATGATTTTGGATTCGTTTAAAGAACGTCTTCACACAGCTTCGTTTGTGAGCCACCATACGGTTGCTGTGAATACTGAAGAGCTGTGTGGCGTTCTTTTCCTTCCTATAAACCGTCTGACAAGCACACCCAGGAAGGGCAGCTGTTGTTCCTGTTATATTTCCCTCGTGAATTTTATATCGGGGAAGATTTCGTTGAGCAAGCTATGGAAATGTTATAGCATATCCTCCTTTACGACGGCAAACGTGTCGCCTACGCAAGGATGCCTAAATACCGGCTCATGTTAGATGAAGGCAACCTTTCCTAACTCCTGTAAGACCATTTCTTCCATTTCACCGGAGACCGACAAGCCCATGGGAGTTTCCTTGATTTTTTCATGGGTCTCTTTAGCAAAATTGAGGAAAGTTTTTCGGCAGAATTCAAACAGTCTCATGAAGTCTTCAATTTTGAGTGCATTCTGAGTCTCGTCGTACGCCTCTTCAAGTCTCTTGTGCAAGACTTTTCGGGCCAAGTTTGGCGGGATTGATGGTAACAACGACAAAGGCGACCATGATTTCGTCCGATTGAATCCTCGGACCTCGGTGGTATATGAGGAATTGGGATGCTGATCGAACTGAGATAATCGAATTGCCTTAGAGGAACTTCGGTTTGAGTACACCCACTTCGCCAAATTGTAGGTGGGACTGCCTTCTAGGGCAAAGATTGGCCGCAGACACCAAAATATTCGCCCACGCCGGAAACGAAACAGACAGAGTATTGATTGGACCTACGCCTCGGATGGGAACTCAGTCCATCGATTTATCGACCTGTCGCCCTCAAACAGACCCCTGAGCAATCACCTCCAGTCTTGTGCCGTCGGTCGATGATTGGCTTACATGCCCCAAAACTGTCGTTTGTTCTGTTGCTGCTACTATCTCTGACAATGAACGGCGGGAATACAGTGTCGCAACACTTAGAATTGTCTATTCCCCCACCAGCCTGTCTTACGGGCGGACTACTACTACTTCTACTACTACCACTAATACTACTACTACTACCACCACCACTACTACTGCTACTACTACCACTACTACCGCTGTTACTACTAATACTACTACCACTGGCGGGAATACAGTGTCGCAACACTGAAGAAAACTTTTTCCCTCGTCTACCACCACTGATACGGCGAATACTACTAATAATCCTACTATTAGTACTACTACTACCACCGCCACCACGGCTGCCAATGCTACTCTACCAACGCTTACAGTATGGGTAACTAACTGCAATAATACTAGCATCAGTAACGGAGTGTTGCGACACTGGTATCCAACCCAATGAATTCCTGCACGAGTTTGAAAGCTCAGAACAATAAACAAAATATTCTGGTGCCCGACTCCTCTTCTTCTTCATTCCTCTAATATTGACGAACTGTATTGCAGTGCACATCTCAGAGTGATCATACTACGCTGCTAAGGGATTGCTCGCTCTTCTCTCAAGGCCAGAAGGAGACAAAATGCCAACCTAATATGTGGAAGTCAGATTTAAGCACGAGGAAAAACAAACTGATGTCCGTGAATTGGGACCGTTTGGTCAAGGGAGCTCGGAGGACGACTGTAGATCGTTTAAGACGATTTTACTTGATTTAATTCGGCGCTGTAGCCCAAGGAAGTTACAAAAACGACTAATCCACCTGCCTGGTTAACTAGGGACCTGAATAGATAGTTATGGAAAGAAAGCAAAAAATGGAGGATATTCAGGGAAACCGGGTCACCAGTGTACCTCGAAGAATTTCGTCGTTAACGAAATGCAGTCAGAAAATGCCCCCGTCGGGCACGAAAGCAGAATGCATACAGAATTATCCGACAAGCCGAACAGAAACCCAAGATTTTATTTCACCATATCAACAGTAGACTGAAAAACAAGGACCCACTTGCAGAACTGAAGGAGGATAGAGGTGTAGAAATTGTCGAAAACAGCGAGAAAACCGAACACTTAGGGCGGTACTTTGACTCGGTCTTTAAGATGGAAAGAGAGTTTCGTAGTCGCAGTGTCAGCAACGCTGTTGAGACCGCTGGTCCCGAGCTTGACTCCATACTCCTCCCGATATCTGTCGTAGAAAGGAGCTACAAAATCTCAAAGAAGCAAAGTCATCGGGTACGGACA